ACAGCTGCAAACTAATGAGTTCACATCCCTCTCAGCCAACCACAAACAGCCACAGCATCAGATAGGGAGTATATATTCAGCATCTGTCATCTTAGAAAAGTCAAAAGAAAAGAAACAGAGTGAGACTGCGAGAGAGAAAGAGAGAGCGCGCGCGCACGAGAGAAACGCATCATTGATTTACAATTGTGGTGACCTCCTCCCAGGCTACCTTTGCATCATCAGCCCGTGGAGGTCTGCTCGCAGTTCCATATATTTGGACACTGCGAGCTTGGACCTCCCGGACCAAAACATCAGTTTCCTCCTGGGAGAAGTTTGGCTGTCTGACGCTGCTGCTCTCTTCTGCCATGGCGAATTGAGTAAACTCTCATTACGCCTTTGCGCGGCGCATTTAAGGGCGAGGAGAGGGGCTCATTTGATTGGTGTGATGTGTGTAAAACCCACTCCACGCCTTCTCTCCTCCCTCTTTCCGACTTGCGCCGGTAGGAGGGACGGAGGTGGGACGGACGAGTAGCTGCGCCAGCACGCACTTTGTGCCAAACTTGCAAAATCCGCCTGGCCACACCCAGTTGGCGAAGTGCAGGTGCGCTGCGCCCCCGCCGTGCCCGGTCTGCGAAACTAGAGCCCAAAGTGTGGAGAAGAGGGACCGGGAAAAGCGGCGGACCTCCAGGGAAGCCTGCTCCGTTCTGCCCGCAGTTAGGGACCGTTCGCCACAGTACTGCTGCTGGGCAGGGTGGAAATAAGTCCTGCAGTTACAGAGGACCTGGAGAATGTTTTAGGATAGTAATGACATTATATAAGATAATCATATTACAAAGATAACATATATAAGATAATAACATTAAAGACAAAATGAAATTGCAATACTTTTTCAAAACTTGATGATTTTACCTTTCTGTACATTTTGATTCATTTCAATTTCAATTTACAATGTTCAAAATTTTCCCAAAATCCTGTGGGAAACACTGTTTTTACTCTGTGTGCTAACGTCCCTACAGGAAATATCTAAAAGGCTGGGCTGCTGTTGTCCTACAGTTTCCATGGCAACAGATCACTCTGTGTTCCTATTGGTTCCTATTGGGACGTCATGAGGCGTCTCAGACGTGGCATCACCTGTCGTCTACTATGACACACTACACCAGATGAAACGATGGATTATCACGTACGACACTTGTTGTCACCAACGGTCAGAGCCGACACTGTATGACACTGCGTCGGGCTGTAAGCGGGCCGATATGATGTAGTGTGAACCTGGCATAATGCACGTGTTATTGAGTTTGATTTTTTAAAAAGTGTTAATCTTGTATCTACTGCAATAAGAATATTAATAACATGCTGTGTTCAGGCTGTTGATAATAAAATGTGTCAGAGTTAATAAGATTATCATGTTGTCACAACCACAGAGACACTGAACTGAATCCTCCGTCGCCTCAGCGTCTCCAAACTCTTCATCAAATGACTCATCAAATAAAAGACACGAGTCAGCATCACACTGACAGTCTGCAGCCTGGTGAATTATTTCATTCACACCCACAGACGCTGCTGCTGCTTCAACATCAGTCGCACTACAAATAAACAAAAACAAATGAGCAGGTAGACCCCGCATCTCTGTGACACACCTGAGAACACACACCTCAGGTAACCTCTGTGTCCTGAATTAAACCGGATCATTGACATGTCAGCTGATGACGATGACGAAGACGTCGGCGGAGGCTGAAAAACAGGTTTATCATCTGCCCTGCGCTGCACTCAACCCGCACGCACAGAGCACCTAATGTGGATTCATCCGCCGCTGGAAATAGTCCCCAACAAAGACACTGTTTCCTCCTGTTTGTTTTTTTGTTTGTTTTTAGAGATTTCTGTCTTCAGTAGGAACCAATGAGCTCGAAGCTCAGAGCCACAGACAGGAAGTCAGACGCTACTGACAGAAGGATGTGAAAAAAAGAGAATCAGACCAGAGTTTAAATGTGGACAGAAAAGTGAGAGTGCTGCTACACTACACTAAAATACCACATACACTTCATCATCATCATCATCATCATCATCATCATCATCAGCAGCAGCAGCAGAGTGGAACAGGATCAGTGACCTGCTGGACACACACCTGAACACACTGACAACTGAACAAATACAGTTAGTTATTACACACACACACACACACACACACACACACACCAACTAGCTACATACTGTACGTGTGAAAACAGGATGATGGAACACGAAAATTACTGCTACTGCGACGACTTTTGTTTTTATTTACATTTTTTTTGACAAATTTAAAAATATTCATAGTTTTTATTGTCTCTCTTGTATGACACACACTTTTAGTAATGACTTTAAAAATATAGATTAATTTGGAGCGGATTATGTGAAGGTCATATATTCTAATCCTCACTTCCTGTGGGCTACAGCAACACTAAACCCCTGAGCTTGCCTGAGAAGGACTAAATGCACAAAGCTGCTATTTTTAAATATCCCATGGAGAGAGACTCTCACTGCAGCCTGTTCTATTTTGTTGTGAAAATGTGGGCGTGCAGCCTCGTTCTGTGGACGATAAACCAGGTGCAGACTTCCATCTGTGTCACCGCTGATGAGGAAATACAGCGAGTGCTGGACGGAGCAGTGAGTGACAACAACCCCG